AATTTAGTAATACTAAGTAATCTTTACTTAGTATTAGTAAATGTGGCTGAAAGACCAATTTAGGTCTTTCAGCCTTTTGGTAGATAGCTCCATAATACCGTGGGAAGATGCAGCCGCCGCAATGAATAAGACCGGAGTTTCATTCATTGGAATGAAATTGCGATACGAACAAAGTCCCGAATTGCGTTTTAACACGAATGGAGCAATTTGGCAGTTTTGCCGGCGTTCTGTCTAAGTGACAGGATGTTCAACAATACTGACAGGAGGCATCGTGGGAACAGGGAGGAAAGCTATTTGCACTTTACTGCATTGGCTATCAAAGGGGCGTTCACACAGTTTGTCGTTGCATTTTATTCTTAACCAGTAGTTGTCTTGGGGCCCCAGGCCAGCTCGGGGCCCCAAGCAATTGCTTGGTTTGCTTGCCTTGTCGCGACGGGCCTGCACACGAGTCAAACGCTTGTTGATTGGCTGCCCTGCAGCTTTTCAAAATGCGCCATTAAATTGCCATACACCAAACTCAAACCCGAACTGTTACTGAAATGTCTGGGTTCGGGTTCTGGGTCAAAAAATCGTAATGTTCGGTACGAACCCGAACTTTACAGTTCGGGTTCGCTCAACTCTATTAAGCATCCAATCTCACAAACGTGACTTTCCACAATGGCTGTCAGATCTTGGTAAAAAATGTTTTTAAGACAATTTTTGGGTGTTTCTGGTATTTTAAGCCACTAATAACTGTAGTTTTTATATTTACTTATTGTAACTTAGGGAATAAGTTGTCTTCTCCCTAACAGGACAAATAAAGATGAATAATGTCATGTTTCCAATTATCAACTATTCTAAATAGATTGAGAGATTTTGAATAAAAGAGTATTTTTAACATTTAAAGAGAATGTAATTTTACATACCATTGTGAACAAATGTAGTAAATACTTTGCTGCTTCAAATAATCCTTATATATCTAAATAATTTACAAGGGTATTTATCTTTAAAACAAAACACTAGTAAGTAACTATGTTACTATTTCATCTATCATTATTATACAAAGTAAAACAAATGTAAAGATTTTTCCACAAATTTTACCTGTTAACATTTTTAGCACAACAGCACCTGATGGCAGTGAGATGTCTATCAGTGAGATGTAGAGGTGTTACCAAGATTCCAATATAGCAAAAAGAGGCGTTCTTGAGATACCACTTTGATTGCTGTATTAACATAACATTTACTATAATGGGATCCATGTCACCTAAAACAATGTCTTGGAAAGGCTATCAATTAATTTATTCCGTCAAAGAATATCGGAAAATATCCAATCTATACACATCATAAACGGTGTAAAAATGTTTCATGCAAAAAACAAAAAAGCAAAGACAAAATACAAAGACAAATACCAACACCACCACCAAGGTGATAACAGATTATGCTGATTCAATATCTGCAACCAATTCTAGCCAAATATTTGGAAAGCTGGACTCTACAACCTATACTCTACAACAAATACCCGGGTATTCTACAAACACAACCTCTAGCAATGTATCTAAGGAATGTAAACTTCTACAGGCCTTTAAATACTTTGGATTACAAATACAATTGCTACTTTTAATTTTGGATTACAATTCCTATCAGGATCCATCCAAGAATATCTTACTCTGGAACCTGATATTCTTTTTAATTCTTTCCTAAACAAAAGCTTTGCTAATTTTGATCAACCACCTTTACAGGCAAAGATCAGACTACGGATGTTTTACTGTTACAACAATGATCAAAGATGCTGGGAGCATAAAAACCTAAAGACTGTTGGAGAACTTTGGTTTACTAATTTAAGGAAGAAATGTTCTACAATGCCCACAGTTTAATGGAGAGGGTGTTATGGGCAAATGCAAATATTGCAAGTTTTAAAATGCAAATATTGTATTTCTCAAACTGTGTACTTTGTCTTTAAGAGATATTGCAAACTGACAAGGTGTTAGAAATGGAACATTTTGTTTTTCATAACTGTTTCTTTAAGCAATAACCTCTTACCTACCATCAGTGCATAATATGTTTATGCCATTTTGTCCCAATCGAATTACAATAACAATAATGCATAAACAAGCTGTATACTGTGGTAACCCTAAGTAGATAAAGATGTTCAGACTTTAAGATGCCATCTTGACCTAAGCCAGGAAAATTTCCATTTGGCCTCACGTGCTTGGCACAAGTTCCCTAGATGCACTGGGATATAGTCCTGCAGATGCCTGAGACGGGGTTTTCACGTAAGGGCCTTACTACTTGTTTTTCTAGCCCCTGTGAGGTGCATATTTCTTTTCTTTTTGTCTGTTTTCAGTCATTTGTTCATTCAATAAGCCAGATATCACTACCTGCTTCTATCATAGCAATAACATAGAACTTGGGTGCGACTTGATTAAGATGTCATATGCTGTTTTACTGCTGGGTTTTGTATCTATAACTGAGGTTTATATGTACATTAATAATGCTCAGCTATCTTTTTAGCCGTAAATGCGTCTAAAATGTTTTCAATATTATGTTTCCGTATCTGCTACCATATATGCATACCCTCAATTGGTGTTAATTTGACTATTTGCTTTGTTTTATTTTTTTGCATTCTGAAATTCCATGCGAAGGCTATGATATGCAATGGTGTAATATTTTTTACATTCATTGAGCTTTCGAATGTGAAACAATAAAACAATTTAAAACAAGCACTGCCCAAAGTTAGCGTTCATATTTGTTTGTGTTTGAAAAATGCAAAAAACAATAAAGACAATTTTCACAGCATTCTTTGGTCATATTTATTAATATTAGCGGATGGCACTGTCCACTGAGATAATTTGGACATAGTTGGTGGCACAAAACAGACATATTGCATATCTTCCAAGCATTGCCGGCTTAGGCCCTTAGGCGCCCTGTGTGAAAAATCTTCGCAGCGCACCCCCCTTGATTCCCCCCCCATCATTCTTTTTAAAGTGTATTAAATGAATAATGATTCAAAAACAAATATTAATTCCTCCTTTCTTGTTGTTACCTAGTTGGGAGAGGGGCATGCTGATCTGAATCTGGTGTGCCCCTCCACTGGGTGCAGACCATGCGTAACTATCTCGCAAGCTCAGGGACTTGCAGTGTCCTGTGGTAATCTCCAGAGCTAGGAAGACTTGTTGGTCTGCAGCCAATAGAAGTGCATGCCAGATGTTTCAGACTGCAGAGTCACATGCACACAGTCAGATGCACACAGTTATACATATACACTGTCAAATGCACAGGATCAGGTAGAAACACAGTTACACACATTAACAGTTACAGGCAGATAAACACACTCACACAGTTACATACAGTCACACACACAGTTACAATCACACGCACACACAATTACAATCAGACAGTAACACACACATACACACACAGTTACAGGCAGACAATGACAAACACACACAGGTACAGACAGACAGTAACATACATACAGCCACACATACAGTCTCTCTCTCACACACACACACACAGAGGCAGACAGTCACGCAGGCAGACAGTTAAACACACACACACACACACAGAGGCAGATAGCCACACACACAGGTACTCACACACACAGAGGCAGACAGCCAGACACACAGGCAGACAGTCACACACACACAGGCAGAAAGTTCCACACACACAGGCAGACAGCCACACACACAGGCAGAAAGTCACATGGGCAGACAGTCACACACAGGCAGACAGCCACACACAAACAGGCAGTCACACACACACACACACAGGTACTCACACACACAGAGGCAGATAGCCACACACACAGAGGCAGACAGCCACACACACAGGCAGGCAGTCACACACACACACAAGCAGACAGTCACACACACACATACAGGCAGACAGCCACACACACAGGTAGAAAGTCACACGGGCAGACAGTCACACACACACAGGCAGTCACACACACACACACACACAGGTACTCACACACACAGAGGCAGAAAGCCACACACAGGCAGACAGTCACACACACACACACACACAGACAGTCACACACACACAGACAGCCACACACGCAGGCAGACAGTCAAACACAAACACACACACAGGTACTCACACACACAAAGGCAGACAGTTGCACATACTCACACACACTCACAAACAGGCAGTCATACATGGTTACCTCTGTCCTTTATGGTATGGGAGGAGTGAAGGCAGTGCAGCTCTGGTTGTTGGGTAAGCATGGACTCCTTCCTGCTTCCCATGCAGCCGGCACTTTTAGCTTCGCCCCTGCCGGAAGGTAGGCCCCGCCCCCACCGCAATGCTTTTTCTTTTTCGTATCCCGGGTGGAAAATAATGTAATCCTCCACCCGGGTAGCTGGCCATGTGTGAGCTGTGTCCGCCGCATGGCGTCCCCGATCCACAGCGCCCTGTGCGGCCGCAGAGCTCGCACACCCCTAAGGCCGGCCCTGCTTCCAAGTGTCCTTATTTAGGCAGGACAGTCTATTTTGGGCCCAAACAACTGAGTCCCTCTTTTCTATCCTAATGTCCCTCTTTCCTAGGAGCTCAATATTGTTGGTGTGTCTGAGTTATATAACAGAGCTCCACAGCAATTATATTCAAAGTAACATGTCTTTAAACTACAATAAATGTGTTCATTAAACAATCTGTGTTAATAAGATACCTTGTTTGTGTACTAAATTACATTTTAGTTGCATACATAGGTATTCGTAAATCACATCAAATTTGTCAAAACAGCATCGCCCTTGTACACACAAACAGTCACACCACTATAATTAAAGTGTCCCTCTTTGTCCTTTTAACATGTTGGGAGATATGATACGGTGTCATCAAATTTTCATATTCAGAAGTAACAATCCCAGATTGTGAGCCCCAACAGTGAGAGTCTATGCACTAGTAATCTCTAATAAGACAGAGAGAGGTATTTTTTTTAAAACCCTACATACCAAGTGTAATAAGCATAATTTTTTAGTCATTGCTGTTTTATTAAGAGCTGGGAGCTTATGAAAGTCTAATTACATAGTACCTAAACTGGACTTGTAATTGATAATAGCCTTGTTGCCTTCATTCATGGCATACTTTGCCAGCTTCCCATGAAGTAGAAAACAAAGTGCCATTTCGAGATCTTCCTCCGACAACGTATGTTTCTTCTTATAGCGAACCAAACGGCCTGCCTGTCTAGCAATAAGCTCAAAGATGCCTTTGATAAATGTCTCCAACAATTCTAAGGCCACGGAAGAGATGCTTAGATCTGGGTTCACCTCTTTCATCACCTTTCGGATGTACAAGACAAATGAATCTGTCCTGCGCCTCTTCATTATTTGGGGAATGTTGCTTGTTGATGGAAAGCTATCATCTTCCTGGCTGCTCCACTTCAAATTCTCCATAGTTGCTTAGCTCCTCTCTAAATAGACTAGGACACCTAAATAAAAAATATTTATTGTAATCCAGATTCAGCATTTACTATTTTAAAGTAAGTTGCAATTAAACAATATGTTAAAACTTCTAAAACACTGTTAGTCATTATTGGGGACATGGAACATTTTGGAACATTTATTCTTTCATGGAGTTATCTGATTGCTCCACTTTATTTTTATTTACTTGCTAATGAACCAATGAAAGTCCCCTATAGTGGTCATGGTGCTTAGAAAGAAAGTCCTTGTAAGTATAAACATTACATTATCATACAAATTCTCTAACATTATAGTGACGAACATTGTTTTCCAGACAAACCTACAATTAATTTATTAACAGTTAATTCAATAAATAAACAACAGTTTAAAAAATTTGCATTATTTAAAAATAAATAATTGTAAAACAAATAAAAAAACAATAAAACCAACAACTGCCATTCTACAAAAGTAGATCTGATAAGCCGTCATACTCATTTTAGTACAATAGGTCTCTTCTGCCTTTTTATTTTATTTGTTTATTTTTGCTTTTGATTACGAAGTTGAATTATAAGAATTGGATATGTCCCCTTATCTTAAAAGTACTTGATTTGGATGGATACAGGCTCTCATACTAGAATTAATTTGGTGTTATAATAGAAATACAATCCATTATGCGGCAATTGGTGACTACTCTTGTCTTGTAGAAAGGTAAAAAATAAACATTTAGGTAAATGTTTTGAAATGTAAATATCTATTGGCACTCCAGCTGTTATGAAGTGTTTCATGATGCACAGTACTATTGAGCCATCACATTCCAGCAATGTAAAATTGTTCATGGAAACATACCTGGTATTCAATTTCAAGCAACCAGTCACTTCCCATGCATACTAAAATATACCTTAGTAAACATCAACAGCACAGATTTAGTTACTTACTCAGCAATGGCTGATTATGACATCTAACAAGCTGCAGTTGAACTAGGGAAATACTTTTTTTTTGCTTGTAACAACATAAGTAGTTTTTCCATTTCTATTGAAATATGCACTTTTTCCAAAATGAAAAAAGAAAAAAATAAACAAAATACGACACACTCTTCCTAAAGTGCTTTAGGGATCTGGAATGCACCCTTAAAGCGGCACTGTCATGCCGAATTCTGTTTTTTTTTTAACCCCCCTCCCGCCTCCACTACATCCAATTGACTCACTAGTCACCCCCAAATGCCCCTAAGCCCCCCACATTACCTATTTTTTAATCCTTATTTTCTGCCCCGATCTTATTCAGGGCGCCGCCATCTTTGTGTGGGTAGGTGAAGTCCCTGTGGGACACGTCATCAGCCCACACTAGACAGACTGTGAGATTCCCGCACATGCCCAGTGAAACACCTGGACATGCGAACGGGAATTTCATCTATTCATTCATTCATCAGACAGACGAATGAGTGAATAGAAAGATCAGCCGAACAAACAAACACAATGTATCAGTGTATGTTTGTTCGTGCAGTTTATTACAAGGAGGGAGCTACCGGCATGCAGCTCCCTCCTTGTAATATGTAACTATAGAAGCGGCAGGGAGCAGTGCTCCCCACCACTTCATAAGCCCCCCAGTACCCCCTCTCACTCTATGGGGGTCAATATGACCCCCATAATAGCACAAGGGAGATAAAAATCTCCCAAATGCCCCTACTCGCTATACCGCGAGTAGGGGCATGTCCACTAAACAGTGAGCAGCCTGTGGCTGCTCACTGTAAAAAAACAACAACAAAAAAAAAAAACAACTATTGGGCCCCTACCCCTAAACAGTGAGAATGAGGGGGGGGGGGCAGTACTCCCCCCACCCCTGGGCGGCGGGTGGGGGCCATAATGAGAATGGGGGGGGGACCTACTGTCCTACCCCCCGCCCCCACCCCTGGGCGGCGGGTGGGGGCCATAGTGAGAATGAGGGGGGGGGGCAGTACTCCCCCCCCCCGGCCCCCACCCCCGGGCGGCGGGGGGGGGCCAT